ACAGTCTTGCAGACGCTCTACTTTAAAGATCCAGTAGGTCTGCATTACTCTGACAGTAGTGTATGTTTTACAAAGACATGTTTTCTCTTACAAAGCACCCTTATTATTTCAATCATTCGTTTTGATACAAATATGTAGTTTCCCAGTTACAAAGAGACGGCACATATATGACCATGCTTCTCTGTATCTCGACCCCGGCCCATAGCCCCATTGTTGTTTTGTACAATTGCATAGAAGTTAAAAAACAAAACCCCAAAACAGCCTCTCTTTATAATAAAACAACTTCAGGACATTTTAAGAAACTACTGAAATCTACATGTACTTTTTTGATGAGACCTTGCTGGAACTTTAATCTTTCACAAAAATAAATGTTATATATATATTCTCTTTGTAAACTGTTTCCAATCCAGTTGTTTTGACTAGAAAAGCATGCGGTAGGTAGGAAAGTAGGGAGGGATGGAGGAGAGGGGGGGTTAGGGCTGAAGGCAGGATCAGAAGTGCAGGGCCTCGTGCTGTTGGGTGCTCCTCTCGTCCGTCATCACACTGACCAGCGACTCCATGGCACGGCCCAGATCGTCAGCCATGTGAAACAAACTGCCGATGCTGGGACCTGAGGGGAGAAAGAACACAGTGAAGATTTCACCTGAACCCCCCGTGCACAAGAATTATATCTGCATGACATGAAAACGTCATCTTTGTGCTATGATTTTCATTTTTTTGTGCACTTTTCACATATTTATGAAACAATGAGGCCTCAAAATGTTGAAAACATTTACAGCTCTGTTAAAACTCTGAATATCACAATGTAAACACTATACTCTGTATAATTCAGCAAAGAAGGGAAAGAAGCAGAGTCGTGTGACTAAATGGGAGCTGGCAGAAATACGTTTTTGCGTTTGTTCACAGCACATTTTGACATTTCCTGGCATGACCTTGTTCAATCACCTCAAAATTCTGCACACAAATATCATAATATAATATAATATAATATAATATAATATAATATAATGATAAAGTGAAAAAAGTTTGCTTGAAATTCTGTTGAAAACTACAACCCTGACCCAGCCTCTGGCTCCGAACTCTGAAGAGATCTGAAAATGTCTGTGTACTAATGCTCCCCATTCAAACATTTGGAGCCTGAGAGGTTGTGCAAAGAATATTGGGACAAACTGCCCCAAACAGCTGTGCCAAGCTTGTAGCATCATACTTAAAAAGCCTGTAATTGCTTTAAGTGGTGCTTCAACACTGACAGTTTTCACCTTGTCATTATGAGCTATTGTGTGTGAATTTTGAGATGAAAAATGAATTTAATCCATTTTGGAACAAGGCTGTAACCTGACGAAATGTGGAACATTTATGTTGCTAGCTCCTGAATTTATGAGGTTACGAGGGGTCGAAAAAAAAAGGATGAATTAAATCGTTTATTAAGTCTACTAAATATACAGCTCAATGCACCAACTTTAATGATCTCATCTGAAAATGGAGAGGCATGTGTCTGAAAAACATATCTGAACATGTTTGTAAACAATTTGCCTTTAAATCCACTTTAAAACTAACTGATAAGTACACAGCACATTTTTAAAGCTCAGAGCGACCGTGACCTCCACAGAGGCACTGAGGCCACCACACTGGAAACTCAAACAGAACCCACAAGTTTCAATTCTTAAACAAATCAATTAACAAACTGAAGCTGCTAAAAGGCGACAACACAGCAGTAACAGTCTGCAGGCACATTGTGCTGTGAACTTGTGTCACAGCGTCATCTTATGAAAGTATATGCAGCCATTACGTAAACACATAGCACAGACTGCCTATGGTGAAAACAGGCGCCATGGTGCAGGCTGGACTGGGACACGCACTGGGACAGCCACTTGCCCAGTTTGGGATCACTGTGCCAAGTCCAATTCAACTTTATCTTATTTATATAGCACCAAATAATAACAACAGTTGCCTCATGGCACTTTGCATCTATCACTACTGCCGTCTATCTCTGCTTGTCCACTTGTCCGGTTGGTTTGTCATCACCAGTCTGTCCGTCTTTATCTGGAAATCGCACAGCTTAGCTTGTTTATTGTCAACCACACTGTGGGGTGCATCCTTTTTGACCTTCCAGGCCATCCTTGGCACAAATATTCCTGTATATGCCAGCCACTTGGTTATTATGGCGTTCCATGTATCTCCTGCTTGCTAGCATCTTGCAACCCGCTGTTATGTGCTCAATTGTCTCAGGGGCGTCTTTGCAGAGCCTGCAGCTGGTGTGGTGTGAACCCCAGCCTCTATGGATCTTGTGCTTGGCACTTGTTCCTGTGCTGCCATGATTAGCACATTTTCTACTCTCGTGCAGAACTTAAGAGGGTTTTATGCTCATGTCTCATTCAAAAAAGCACGTTTTTTCCTATGCTTATGATTAACAGTCACAGCTCACACTCACTGCTATTAACACATCAGTTGTGGTGGTTGGTACCCAACCATGGAGGGTGGGGATAATGACATCTCACCAATGACCTAATGTCCTGGCTCCACCGTGCTGTAGCATTTGTTTTGTACCTCGTCGATCTCTAGTTGTGATAGTAGTTACTTCTTCCAGATGTTGGAACAAAGCTACTAGTTGTTTCACCATAAGTGTAAATGTTGGATTTCCAAGACTCCATAGATCC